CTTAAATGACACTACCTGGTAGACTAGTTATGTTTTCTCATTTGCATTATTAAAAAGACCTTTCATATTTTCCTTACTGCTCTATCACTAGGAAATTCTGTTAAACATCAAAAATACTGGCATAGCCAATATGTCTACTTTCGGACAAGGGTTTCATGGAGACCATAAAAACTCATTCTCATGTGAAATGAAAAACACAGTATATATTAAATGTGTAGGCAAAAATCTTAAATGATACTAGCTGATAGACTAGTTTCTAACAGGGGTTGCAGTTGTTAGGATGTCACATATTAAAGCTTATCAAAGGCAGAATGCTCCCAAAGAACAATGGCAAGATTCTTTGGTGTGAGTCTTATTCCATAAACAAAATCAAGGTTTGTCTACTGAAACAAAATAAAAATGGATATAAATGGGAAATATAATTGGGTATTTTTAAACTCTATATGTAATTGATATTTATTTTCAAATCTTATTCTTTCACATCTAATTCCTCTCATTTCTTATTATTACTGCTTCAACAACATTACTAGAAGTACTTGGTTTGCAGTCTACCTTCAATATCCCCTTCCAAGCCTTGAGCTGATGTTCAAGTTATCTCCTGCTTTCACTACTTTTATCATAAACCCTCTTTCTAAAGCCTGACTGTGTCCAGGAGTTTCACCCTCTGTTTCAAAAACATTCATTCAGGCAGCATAGACCGTCTTACTGCCAGCTTCTCCTCTCCAGCTGGCCTCACAGGATACACTCAGAGATATGTACTCCAAGCATCTGGTCATGGCAATCTCATCTTTAAACTTTCTTCTAAGGAGAAACATACTAGAAAGTCTTGCTTCCCATTCCTATTCCATTATCCAAATAGGTCCTGAAATGCTACTTATCGCAGGAAACTTTTCCACACTTATCAGGAGAGATGTAAAAGTCCACTGCCAAATTTGTGCTAACAGAACTCAAAACTTTCACATATATTATATTCACTTTATTTCTGTTCCTAGAAAATTTACCAATGTGGCCAGGCATGGTGGCTCATGCCTATAATCCCAGCACTTTGGGAGATGGGTGGATGGCTTGAGACCAGGAGTTCAAGACCAGCCTAGCCAACATGGTAAAACCCTATGTCTACTAAAAATACAAAAATTAGCCAGGTATGGCAGTGCATGCTTGTAGTCCCAGCTGCTTGGGAGGCTGAGGCAGGAGAATCACTTGAACCCATGAGGTGGAGGTTGCAGTGAGCCAAGATTATGCCACTGCACTCCAGCCTGGGCAACAGAGTGAGGCTCTGTTAAAAAAAAAAAAAAAAAAAAAGAAAAGAAAAGAAAAAAGAAAAAAAAATTTACTAACATGTTTATGTAACACAAAGAACATAATTTATAGCTCCAGTTCTATTCTTATTCATAGGTAGAGGGAGGTAACATACATCAGCAGACTTAATTTTTAGGCTTTTTGAGAAAGTCTAAATGTAAATTAGAGAAAAGGGATCAAGCATTGATTTAATCCCTGATCACATGAATAAATGAGCATAAGGAAGGCTGCCAGTTCATCAGAAGTATGCCATGCAGAGTTGGTTGAAATGAATACATCTCAGAGAATAAGAGTTCTAGATATGAGATCTAGATATGCTTTATCCTATATGGTTAAATCATTACATTTTAGAAAGATGACTTCTTTTTCAGCTTTGGGAATGAAAGACTTATTGAAAGCATGGACAAAACATTTTCTGTCTGTTCTTTTTTAGTTTCAGAAAGCCAACATTCAGTCTTCTACCCTTTGTACTTCTTTCTCTCTCTTTCTTCCCTTCCCCTCCCCCTCATCATTTTCTTCTTCACCTACAACTATCAAACTGCAGAACAAGAGCAGGGATCAAGCCATTCCAGGAAATATTTAGTGAAGCACCTCATGCTAAGATCGTGACTTCTGAGAATAATAAAGTCAACTTTACAAATAGATGTGGAGAAAGTAACATGAAAAAAGGAAGAGTTTTTTTTTTCAGAAGCTTAGAAACTATAGGTAACTTTATATTCTTGATATATAGTATTAATATGTCATTATTTATAAAATAATTTAAAAAATAAGATGTCAAACTGTGCTCTGCATAAATGTATGGTGTTGTTTCAAATTAATCCTTATCAATAATCACTTAATAAGGGCTAAGTATACATAGGGTCCAGTGTTAGGTACTAGAGACAACTGTACTGAAAGAACTTACCCCAGCTGAAGAATCAGGGCATTCAGAAAAGACCGGAAGAATGAAAGACAGCAGAATCAGAGGTAAGGTTTGAACTAGTAAAAAAAGGATAGACCTTAGATAAGTAGGTGAGAGGAAGAGTGACCTATATGGCCAGAGAGTGGGAAAGCAAACAGACTGGTCAGGGAAAGATGACGTGGGAAAAATGAAGATAATGAGTTGGTGAAAGAGGCAGAGGCCAGATCGTAGGGATCCTGAATTGAGAATGGGGGTGACACAGACAAAGTGGTATTTCAGAAAGATGAAGCTATAGAAATGGAACAGGAGAAATAAAAATAGTAGAAATGAGAAGGACAAGGCCTGACAAAACTAGAGGGAAAATCTTGACAAGGTTTGGTGACTGCGCCGGGCGCAGTGGCTCACACCTGTAATCCCAGCACTTTGGGAGGCCGAGGCGGGTGGAACATGAGGTCAAGAGATTGAGACCATCGTCGTCAACATGGTCTCTACTAAAAATACAAAAAATTAGCTGGGCATGGTGGCGCATGCCTGTAATCCCAGCTACTCAGGAAGCTGAGGCAGGAGAATTGCCTGAACCAGGAGGCGGAGGTTATGGTGAGCCAAGATCGTGCCATTGCACTCCAGCCTAGGTAACAAAAGCGAACCTCCGTCTCAAAAAAAAAAAAAAAAAAAAAAAAAAAAAAGATTTGGTGACTGATTAGTACGTGAGAAGAGGAAAAGCGAGTCCCTGCTGTCTATTCTCCAGATGGTATCTATTTTCTATATAAAATAGTCCATTTCCTATTCTTTCCTGACAGTGATCATTTTTCTAGCAACATGAAAAAAATATGGTACAAAATATTTCTTAATAACTTTATTTCCAGGCTTTAACTTTTTAAAATTTAAAAAATTAGACAATAACATTTAATGATATTCATTTCCACAGATAGAAAATAATCATTTACACAAATGTTTTTCCATTCGATGATGATGAAAAGCAAAAGTGACTATATGATTCGCCATACATACATACTAGGTTCTGCCAATATTTACTCATTCAACAAACATTTGCTATGGAATAAATGATGAAAGCATTGGTTGGGTAAGCATAGGCAGATAATATTTTTAATTTTTTTAAATAACAAAATACTATGAGTTTAGCATCATTATCTTCTCTTTGTAACTCAACTACAAAGTCAGAGACAGCTGATGAATGGTAAACATTAGCAGATAAAGAGCCAAAAGACACAGATTCTGATCTTGACTCTGGCTTTAACTTGGTCACACAGCAAGTAAATTACTTCTTTTCCCTCAGCTTCTGCAAATAAGCATGAAAGTAACTTATATTTTGGAATATTTTTAATTTACATGGATAGGTTTTCATTTCTTTTTTTTTTTTTTTTTAACTAGAACTCCATTAATACTCTGAAGTAGGACAAGACTGGTTTGATTACCTCATAATTTACAGATGAGCATAGCAAATCTAAATGATAAGGCAATGATTACAACCTACGTGTCTGACCCTAAGTCCCATATGCTTTTGACTACATCCGGCTTCTCCTAGCTACTTCACAAAATTATTTGAAAAACTACAGATATGGGAAATGCTTTAGAACAGTTACAGCATTACACAAATGAGAGCTGTATTGTTTTGTTTGGGTATGACCAGGAGAGAATGAAGGTTTTCCTTTTTTTTTTTTTTTTTTTTTGAGAATGAAGGTTTTATGGGGACCAAAGCTTATTTTGGGATCCCTCTTTAAGAAAAAGAACACAGCCAGGCACGGTGGCTCATGCCTGTAATCCCAGCACTTTGGGAAGCCGGGGCAGGTGGATCACCTGAGGTCAGGAGTTTGAGATCAGCATGACCAACATGGAGAAACCCCATCTCTACTAAAAATACAAAATTAGCCGGGGGTGGTGGCACATGCCCATAATCCCTGCTACTTGGGAGACAGAGGCAGGAGAATCGCTTGAACGTAGGAGGCAGAGGCTGTGGTGAGCCAAGGCAGCACCATTGCACTTTGGCCTGGTGGGTAACAAGAGTGAAACTCTGTCTTAAAAAAAAAAAACACAAAAATTAGGGAGACTTTGGAATGGGTCCAAGCAAGTAAGAGGCCCTGAAGCTTAGGCTTCATTTACCTTCGGAGTAAATCTGCCTCTGGACATAGCAGAAAAAAATTCACCAGCCAACCTAATAAGATCAAGAATTGCATTTCAAAACCCAAGTTCTGCCTTCTAAGTTGTATGAAAACACAATGAATACACATGCTTGGCCTTTATTTCCTCATCTTTATTCATAATAAGCCATACAACAAAAATCTTCTAAGTAGAAAGTCTTTGTCATGTCTTTTTTAGAATTAAAAGAAATTACCAAAAAAAAAAAAGAACAAATTACCAACAACAAAAAGTAATTGTAATAAAAATGATAAATTATTTTGCTAAAATAATTAAGCTAGAACATCACACCATATAATAATTATTGGTTTACACACACACAGGTATAAATACACACACACATAAACACACTCATATTTACTCACAATTTGGCAAGCAAAAGATCTCATTAAAAAAAAAATTTACCTCGTCTCCGCCCATAGCTCCTGGCTGCATGTAAACATAGAAGAAAACCATGGGTATTTGTATCAAAATGGTGAATTTAGAAATTAAAAAAAATATATTCATACAAAGCTTTTCTATGTATTCTTGGAATTATTTAATTGATATGAAGATACTGTTCAACTTGACTACAAACACTGTATTAAAAAAAAAAAACCTTTATGAAATACAAACTAAATCACAATATTAAAAAGAAATTTAACTGGATGTGGCAGCCACTGGAACAGACACAATGGATGTTTCAGAAGTCTTATGAGGATTTATATTGGAGCCTATTATCTATATCAAAGTATTTTAAAACTAATTTATAAATCTTCATTTGTACTTTTATCTTGCCACCAGATAAGAAAAAAAATTATTTGTTCTAAATAACTAAAAGCTATACCATGCAGTGGTCACTGAATTTCTTAGGACACACACATTCCCCCCAAGCATACATACACACACACACTCTCTTCATAGATTCCCCTGAAAAATGTATAGAAATTTTATATACAACTAGCTGTTACTTTACAGAATGTGTTTCTGTAAAATTTTCAGTAAAGCTTCTCTTATTGTCTCCATTTACTTTCAACTCAATATTACAGATGGGGGAATGTAATATCTTTTTCATCTATAAAATGAATTGCAAAAGTAAAATGAGATTAAGGCACTGGGTCCCCCTTAGGCCATGCTTAATAATACAGTGCTTTAAAGGTTTTCTTCCTCTTCAAAACTCCAGGCCTACAGAATGTACTGTTACAATGTTTAATAGAGCTAGACTGTGGTATCATGTATCACTAAAAGATCCTGTCATGTAGAATGATTTTCAGAGTGGAAAGTTTCTCAAATTTGAAACCTCAGGTTCTATTTTTAAAAATGATTTAGAGCTTAATCCATTTTTTAAAAGCGTGACAGGCCAGGTGTGGTGGCTCACATTTGTAATCCAGCACTTTGGGAGGCCAAGGCAGGAGGATGGTTTGAGGTCAGGAGTTTCAGCAGCCTGGTCAACATGGCAAAACCCCATCTCTACTAAAATTAGCCGGGCATGATAGCTCATGCCTGTAATCCCAGCTACTCGGGAGGCTGAGACAGGAGAATCACTTGAACCTGGGGGACAGAGGTTGCAGTGAGCTGAGATCACGCCACTGACCTCCAGCCTGGGCGACAGAACAAGACTCTGTCTCAAAATAAATAAGTAAATAAATAAGTAAAAGCATGAAATGTCACACAAGTAGCTTATATTGAAAAAGGAAGATAATTTGGGGTTATATTTACAGTGTAAGATAGTAAGCATTAAATAAAATGATTTCTGGCTGGGTGCGGTGGCTCATGCTTGTAATTGCAGCACTTTGGGAGGCTGAGGTGGGCGGATCACCTGAGGTCAGGAGTGGAGTTTGAGACCAACCTGGACAACATGGTAAAACGCTGTCTCTACTAAAAATACAAAAATTAGCCAGGTGTGATGGGAAGCGCCTATAGTCCCAACTACTGGGGAGGCTGAGGCAGGAGAATTGCTTGAACCTGGGAGATGGAAATTGCAGTTAGCCAAGATCGTGCTACTACGCTCCAGCCTGGGTGACAGAGTGGGACTCTGTCTCAAAAACAACAACAACAACAACAACAACAACAAAACACCAATTTCTTCCATAGGAAAATAATTCGGACTTTTTAGCCGGATAGTTGAAACATGACTAAGCCAATCTCATCTTCTACTATTTTCTACTTTTCCTCAGGCATCAGACTTGCCCTCACTCCACACCTTTAACCTCTTCACTTTCCCACTACTTAAATATTAGAAGGAATTATCCAGCTCAAGCTCTATTTTTTCCTTCACTCCCCGTGTACTACAATCCTCAATGAAAAAAATCTGGTTCTTTTTTGTTGTTTTTGTTTTTGAGATGTAGCCTCACTCTGTCACCCAGGCTGGAGTGCAGTGGCATGATCTCTCGGCTCACTGCAACCTCTACCTCCCAGGTCCAAGTGATTCTCCTGCCTCAGCCTCCTGAATAGCTGGAATTACAGGTGCCTGCCACCACGCCTGGCTAATTTTTGTATTTTTAGTAGAGATGGGGTTTCGTCATGTTGGCCAGGCTAGTCTCGAATTCCTGACCTCAAGTGATTCCCCCCACCTTGGCCTTCCAAAGTGCTGGGATTATAGGGGTGAACCACCATGCCCAGCCGAAAAAAATCTCTTCTGAACTTACACTGCTATTTCTGTTTACATCATTTACAAGAGCAGATGCATTCTAAAAACAATTTAGGGGACTTTTATACTGTTTATTATTTGGAACCCAGAATTCCTCTTCTTACAAAAAGTATAATAAATTGTAGGTAGCCTCCTAGCTTGACCCCTCCCCCAAATTTGCTTCATCCATAATTACATGGATTAATACTTAAAAAGAAATGAAATAAATTTTGACATCCCATGACTTGTCCCTTTGTCCTTTTTTCCCATCATCAATGATGTTACGCTGCCTGACACCCCAAAGAAAAATCTCTACTGAGAAAGGAAATACCCCACATTTTAAAATTATTTATTTCTCTCTCAATCAATAATTTTTTTCCCATTATATCTGACTTCTGACCATATATCCAATGAAGACAGATCTGACTGCAATACTAAGGTACAAATGATTCACTGGACATTAACACCCCTAGAGGATAAATGAGAATGTTGTTCACACAGGTCTTCAACCACTAAACATTTAAGTAATATAGATGAGGTTAATAGATCTAGACAGGCATGGGGTGGAGGGGAGCATGTTGAATCGGAGAGAGAGGAAGAGTTATGAAAGACCTACCTGGGAGTTTTGTTTGTTGGTTTGCTTTTTTGAGATGGGGTCTCACTGTGGCACAGAGGCTGGAGTGCAGTGGCATGATCTCTGCTCACTACAACCACCACCTCCTGGGTTCAAGTGATTCTCCCACCTCAGCCTCCTGAGCAGCTGAGATCACTACACCCAGCTAATTTCTGTATCTTTTGCAAAGAAAGGGTTTCACCATGTCATGAAAGCTGGTCTCCTGGACTTCAAGGGATCTGCCTACCTTGGCCTCCCAAAGTGCTGGGACTATAAATTGGTTCATGATGGCTGGGGACTCTGATAACAGAGAGACAGGATGGTATATGGAATAGGGAGCCAATATCAAGTAGGGACCTGAGATGCTTAGATTTGTTTGTTTGTTTTTAGATGGAATTTCGCCATTGTTGCCCCTGCTAGAGTACAATGGCGCGATCTCGGCTCACTGTCACTTCTGCCTCCAGGGTTCTAGAGATTCTCCTGCCTCAGACTCCCGAGTAGCTGGGATTACAGTTGCCCACCACCTTGCCCGGCTAATTCTTCATATTTTTAGTAGAGACATGTTTTCACCATGTTGGCCAGGCTGGTCTCAAACTTCTGACCTCAGGTGATCCACCCACCTCGGCCTCCCAAAGTGTTGGGATTACAGGTGTGAGCCACCTTGCCTAGCGGCTTAGATTTGTTTTTATCATTGACTATGGAATTTATTACATACTACCTTGGTCCTGTTATAGTAATTATCATAGCAGCTAAAACCTAATGAATGCTTCCTATGTGTGGGGAACAGTTCAAAATGCTTCACATGTATTAGTATCATTTAATATACCCCACAACTTTATGACATATCCTTAATTCTTTTTTCAGATGAGGAAAATGGAACACAAAAAGGTAAATATCTTGTCCAAAATCACATAGTTAGGGAGCAATGAATTTGGAACTTGAATCAAGCAGTCTGGCTCCACAGTTCACACAAACAACTCACTAGGGGACAAGGTCCATATCTTGTACTCCTTTTAATACCCTGTAATATACTTGGAAGAATGCTCTATATCAAGTTGTTACTCAACAAACACAGCTTGCTAGCTGAGTACACAATCATGAACAGGAGTAATATATGCCTTGATGGCCTTTAAAATATAGGCCAACTCTGTTAGTGGTTTAACATTTGATCGAGTTGCTCATATGAGGGCCATTTGTAAACAGTCTAATTAGAGTCAAACTCTTCCTTTATTTATAGAAAGACAATGAAATGAACACCAAGGAGATATGGGAGTACAAAAATAGTGGTTTCTGGTTTCCCCTAGAAACTCTGAACAAGAAAGAATGTTGAATATATAAACCTACAGCAGCCAACACAAAATCATTCCACATTTTTTTTTTTTTTGAGATGGAGTCTCGCTGTGTCGCCCAGGCTGGAGTGCAGTGGTGCCATCTTGGCTCACTGCAACCTCTGACTCCCAGGATCAAGTGATTCTTCTGCCTCGGCCTCCCGAGTAGCTGCGACTACAGGCACATACCACCACACTGGCTAATTTTTGTATTTTTAGTAAAGACTTGGTTTCACCATATTGGCCAGGCTGGTCTCAAACTCCTGACCTCGTGATCTGCTCGCTTTGGCCTCCCAAAGTGCTAGGATTACAAGCGCATCCAGCTGATTACATATTTTATAAAATGGAGTAATGTGACTTATTTCAACTTTCTAATATCCTATCTATGCTTACCAGATATAACAAAATACAATATTCTTTCGAATGTCTACTTCCGCCAAGAACTTTACTTCTCAATTATCAACTATTACCAGGCTTGAAGATATAATTCTTTTCTTTTTTTTAAGAGATAGAACTCTTTTACTGTTTCATATATATTTAGCAATTTAGAGCCCATAAAAATTACCTCTAATTTTTGAAGTCAGAGTAGTGTTACCCTTGGCTAGAGATAGTAACCAGAGCAGACCCTAGGGGTGTAGTTTGAGGTGTTAGTCATCTTTTGGTCTTAATCCAGGTACTAGTTACAAGGGTGTGCTCAATTTGTGATACTACATTAAGCAACATATTTATTAAACCTATGTATTTATGGTTTGTGTGCTGTTTGTATTTGAATATATAAAAACAAAACATTACAAATATTTTAGATTAGTTCACTGGTTATAAAAATAGTGCAGAAAATCCACAGCACTAACATTTTTGTAGCTTTTAAATCATAAACCTGAATAATTAAAAATTGAAAAAAAATACTAATTTTCAATCCATCAGAATAAAAATTAAAAGGTACATGTATTTTACAGGGGAAAATACAAGAATTATTCCAAAAGTGGATTTGTAAGGTCAGTGACAAGTACACTGTGAACAGCACTCTCATGTTAGTGGTATGGTACTTTGTTGGGCATATGAGGCAACACTAAAATAGATCATCTGTTATTCCTTATGATTTGGCCTACACTAAGTTTTAATGGCTACACTCTTACATATGAGACTACCCAAGGGAAGGGCATGTTAGACTCTGCTTTGTTTTTTAAAGACTTTATATTTTTAGAACCTTTTTGGTTCACAGCAAAATGGAGAGGAAGGCCCAAAGATGTTGTACATGTCCCCTAACCCCCACACTTGGATAGCTTCCCCAATTATCAACATCTCCCTCCAGAATAGTACATTTGTTAAAACTGATGAACCTATGCTGACACGTCATTATCATCCAAAGTCTACAGTTTACATTAGGATTCACTCTTGGTGTACATTCCATGTGTTCTGACAAATGTGTAACATGCATCTACTGTTACAGTATCATATAGAAGAATTTCACTGCCTTAAAAATCCCCTGTGCTCCATCTCTTCATTCCTCCCTCCCACTTAACCTCTGGCAAACACTGATCTTTTTACTGTCTCCATAGTTTTGCCTTTTCCAGAACGTCATATAGTTGGAATCATATGAAACCTTTTTAGATTGTCTTCTTTTACTTAGTAATATGCATTTAAGGTTCCTCCAGGTCTTTTCATGGCTTCATAGCTCATTTGTTTATAGTGCTGAATAACATTCCATTATCTGGATGTACCACAGCTTATTTATATCTTGGTTGCTTCCAAGTTTTAGTAATTATGAATAAAGCTGCTCTGAACACCCATGTGCAAGTTTTTATGTGGATATATGTTTTCAACTTCTCTGGGTAAATATCAAGAAGTGCAACTGCTGAACTGCATGGTAAGAGTATGTTTAATTTTGTAAGAAATTGCCAAACTTGATCTGGTATTTAAATGAACTCTTCTGTTACATGGATTCATCTGAATTTGAGGAAGTCTCTCGAAGCAAGGTAACACCATATATAGATTCCACAATATAGGCTCGAAAAATGAGAAAGAGCAAGAAAAAAAGAAGAGGGTAAGGAAGAGGGGGAGGGAATGGGAAGGAGGGAGGGAGGGACTGAGGTGTAGGTAGGTAGGTAGAGACAGACAGATAAATATTCACTCTACTGTGGATCAAAGCAGCACACAACATGTTTTCAAAACAGGCAGAGCCCTTGTGCCTGATGAAACAAGAATGAAGATCCAAAGGCTTTAGTATAACATTTCATTAATGGACATGGAAGTTTTTGTCAAGACTATTAAAAGTCACTGTAGGAGAGGCCAGGCGCAGTGGCTCATGCCTATAATCCCAGCATTTTGAGAAGCTGAGGTGTATGGATCACCTGAGGTCAAGTGCTTGAGACAAGCCTGACCAACACGGAGAAATCCCATCTCTACTAAAAATACAAAATTAGCTGGGTGTAATGGCATATGCCTGTAATCCCAGCAACTTGGAAGGCTTAGGCAGGAGAATTGTTTGAACCCGGGAGGCAGAGGTTGCAGTGAGCCAAGATTGTACCATTGTATTTATTCCAGCCTGGGCAACAAGAATGAAACTCTGTCTTAAAAAAAAAAAAGAAAAGAAAAGAAAAAGTCACTATATGGACAAATTATTACTTTCCTTGTAATAAAATCAGTTAAGAAACATCTTGCAACTTACTTTTTGAGTCACCATTTCAGTAGGCATCATAAAATTATTCAAACATCTAATGCTCCCTTTCAGCTTCCCTTGGAGTATCAGTCATAAAAAAAAGTTCACTTAAGATGGGTTAAGATCTTAAAGCTTGAATCAAAATGTCCCGCCTTTCCCTCCTTAGACTGTAAATTCTTAAACAGCAGGAGTGATAGGGTTAGTCTCTATATCCTCCTCCTATATCTTTGTCTTATAATGGCAGATAAGATACTTTTAACCCAATGTTTGATAGCATTTCTCAAACTAGGCAAGTTATAATTGAAAAGATCAATTTCTCCATGAACAACATGAAAGTAGCAGGTAAAAAAGATGCTTGAAGGGAAAGGATGTATTTTCATCTGCTACATTTACATTAAGTATTTGTTTTTATTTTTATTTTGTTTTATACATATTAAGTATTTGGATGTCTTAAAACTCCTTCCTTCCCTTCTCTTTCACTCTTTCACATTCTTCTCAGAAAAATATTCTTTCCATTGTATTTGCAAACCTAAAAAGTAATACTAATGACTGATAAGCAAAATAGTAGCATTGCTGAGATATTTTATAAAAGGAGAATATCATAAAGTAAAATAACATAATAATATCTACTGCTAATTTATCATATTCCAGACATATGCTAAGTACTTAACATGTCTTCTAATTCCCAAGGCAGCTATCATTATATACATTTCCAGATGGGCAAACCCAGGGCCAGTGAAGGTGACCGGCCCAGAGTTATGCAGCTATTAAGCAGCAGAGCTGGGATTAAACCCAGGTTTAGTCTGGCTCTAAAGCACCTACTTTAAGTCAAGATATTATTTACAGTCAATAAAATTTATCCACTTTAAGTATGTAATCTGATTAATTTTGATAATTATATACAGACATATAACCACCATCATTATAATCAAGATAGGACAGTTCAACACCTCTGAAGATTTCTTTGGGTGCTTTTGCAGTTGATACCCTCCCCTAACCCATGGCTCCTGTCAAGCACTGATCTCCCTTCTTATCATAGTTTTGTTTGCCTTTTCTATGATTTCATATTAATGAAACCAATATGTTTGACTTCCTTCACTTAGCATGTTTTTGAGATTAATCCAAGTTGTTACATGCATAAGTGTTTTGTTTCTTTTTATTGCTGAGTAGTATTTCACAGAATGGACACACCACAATTCATCCATTCACCAGTTGGTAAACATTTGAAAAACCCTCACTCTTATCCACTAAGATTGAAGAATCAGTATTTCAAATCTGTAAAGACCTTGAAAGTACAGAGAAATTCTCTTCAGAATTTCCACAACTTCCATTACCCTGTTTTTCAGCAGCACAATCCAAAATTTAAGGAAATAAACTTCCCACTCCAATTTTATTTCATTATTCCTAACACATTATTGTTTTCTACTAATTATTAGACTTACAACTGTTATTTTATGAATTAAAATACAGAGATACCTCAGAGATATTACAGGCTCTGGGCTCCAAACAACTGTAATAAAGAAAACATCACAGTAGAGCGGGTCACACAATTTTTTATTTCCTAGTGCATACAAAAGTTATGTTTACATTATACTGGAGTGTATTAAGTGCACAGTAGCATTACATCTTAAAAAAAACAATGTAGGCTGGGTGCAGTGGCTCACGCCTGTAATCTTAGCACTTTGGGAGGCCAAGGTGGGTGGATCACCTGAGGTCAGGAGTTCAAGACCAGCCTGGCCATCATGGTGAAACCCCATCTTTAAAAAAATAATAATAATAAATAAATAAATTTAAATAAAAGATCACTAATCATAAATCACCATAACAGATATAGTAATAATGAAAAAGGTTGAAATATTGAGAGAATTAACAAAATGTGTTATACAGACAAAAAGTGAGCATATGCTGTTAGAAAAACAGCACAACTATTGACACAAATTTGCAATTTGTAAAAAACACAATTCCATGAAGCATGATAAAGTGAAGCACAATAAAATGATATATGCCTATAGGTATTTTTGTGGATTGGTCAGAAAATTAAGTTGTTTTTAGGAACATAAGAAACTATATCCTGCATTCTAAGCAACTAAACTTCTGCAACATTCTGTTTCACTGCTTTCAATATCTTACAGAGAAACCCACAGGTATCTTAAGCAAAACAGGAATTATTTCTATAACTAAGAGAAAGCTGTTTTACCTGGTTCTGCTAGAATACCTTAATAAAGATATTATGAGGTAAAAAGGATGGGATAAAAGAATAAAGAGGTTTGCTTCAAGCCTCTTCAGCCTATTTCTAGTGCGTGTTTTTCAGTTTTTTCTAAATAGCTGATATAGTTTGGCTGCATCCTCACTCAAATCTCATCTTGAATTGTAGTTCCCAGAGTCCCCATGTGTCAGTAGGAGGTAACCGAATCATGGGAGAAATTACCCCCATGCTGCTGTTCTCGTGATAGTGAAGTGAGTTCTCGCAAGATCTGATGGTTTTACAAGTGGCTTTCTCTACTTTGATTGGCATTTCTCTCTCCTGCTGTCATGTGAAGAAGTATGTTTTTGCTTCCCCTTCTGCCAAGAGTGTAAGTTCCTGAGGCCTCCTCAGCCATGCAGAACTGTGAGTCAATTAAACCTCTTTCCTTTATAAATTACTCAGTCTTGGGCAGTTCTTTTTTTGAGATGGAGTTTTGCTCTTGTTGCCTGGGCTGGAGTGCAATGGCACAATCTCAGCTCACCACAACCTCCGCCTCCCAGGTTGAAGTGATTCCCCTGTACTAGCCTCCCAAGTAGCTGGGATTACAGCTGCCCACCACCATGCCCTGCGAATTTTTGTATTTTTTAATTTTACTTAAATATATCATTTCCAATAATGGCTATAAGCAAAATTTTTGTATTTTTAGTAGAGAGGGGGTTTCACCATGTTGGCCAGACTGGTCTTGAACTCCTGACCTCAGGTGATCCACCTACCCTGGCCTCCCAAAGTGCTGGGATTACAGGCATGAGCCACCACACCTGGCCTCAGGCAGTTCTTTACAGCAGTGTGAGAATGGACTAATACAGTAGCAGAGCCCTCTCTCCCCCAACAAAGACAATGTATTAAAGCAAGGCTATTCAAGTTCAAGCACGGCAAGGACCCGTGGCCCCAAATGTTGGGTATCCTTCTCCCACAGTGGCACTTAAGGTACCTTCTTGGATGTTGGCATTTGATAGAACACAACTAGAAAATCGAAGAACTATACTCCATGGTAGGACCATTTTTATTGGTTACAAAGTTGTTGTTTTTTTTTTTGCCCTCCCCACACAAAGTTCTTTTTTACACCCGCCTGTCTGTTATTTTTACCCACAGACTCCAGCCTAATCCCACTTTTATTTGGGGGCCATTACTTTAGCTCCTTTTGGTTTTCTCTTTTTTACAGTGAATTCAATATTCTTCATAAGAAAGCATTTTCCCTATTCCATATCAGCCTCAATATTCTCCTTTGGATAAACCTAATTTCCAATAAGACAATACTAGAGTGTCCAAGCTTCTCATGAAACATCCAAAGCCCTTCATCATTTGGCTGCAACCATATTTCAGATCTTCATTCTCACTATTCCACAGAGCAGACCCATACATTCCAGTAATTCCAATCCAACCAATCTTCCAGTAATTCACTACAAGCACCTATTCAGAGAGTGTAAAAATCTTGATACCTGCATATTTTGACATCTAGTCTCCACTCTCCCTAGGAAACCCCTAGTCCCCACTGTCTATTCCTGTCTGTTATTATTCTTCCAATTTGTACAAAATGCAAGCTCAAGGCTTTATTATACCACCTTTCAGTGTCCTCGCATACTTAGTACTAATTTACTTTCTGAATTACATTTAACATATAAGTTACTAATACGACTTCTCAATATATAAGATGTTATCAAAGTAATCACTCTAGAATTTCCAAGTTCATTTCCTAAATTCCTCATCAAAACAGAAAAAAATAATTGAAAACATAAATATCAGACAAGATGTCTCTGGAAACAAACCTAGGTAAAGAATCCCTCTGCATACTACTGCTATACCTTACTGGAGAGAGTGGGCATCCATACCCACTT